AACTCCTGTCTTTCGTTCCTCTACTTTGTACTCTACATACACCACTAGTGTAACTCCTGTCTTTGTTCTCTACTCGTTCCTCTACTTTGTACTCTACATTCACCACTAGTGTAACTATCGCCTTCGTTCTCTACTCGTTCGTCTACGTCTGAATGCACCACTAGTGTGTGTCTCTACATGCACCACTAGTGTGTGTCTCTACATGCACCACTAGCGTGTATCTCTACATGCACCACTAGTGTGTCTCTACATGCACCACTAGTGTCAAGGCAGAAATGGTAATGACGTTGGAAATTATGACTGTCCATCTTGTTTGTCTGACTCTAGATAGTCGTCAGATGATGAGATGGATCAGTGGTTCACATATAAGGGCCGCACCTAAATGGGTGAAATAACGAGAAAAATGCACCATACATATACAGCAGAACGCAGCTTAGGTTGAAGCGTAGACGGTTGGCATGCCTGCTCTCAGTGTTGCCGAAGTTACTTATGACGCAGTTCGAGCAATGGCGGAGCTTACTGAAATTTCTGCTATTTTCCTCGTGGTTATCAACGTAGACACGTGTAACACTGCAGGGAATAACATTTTCACGACAAGCTATTGGAACTAAACGGTGGATAAAACCACGCTATCAGGAGAAATTAATTCGTCATAACTGTGGCACACATTCCTACCGACAGCGTCGAGCGCCGGGGACGTTGCGACAGAGGATGAAAAAACATCACCAGAAATCATAATATGGGGTATGAGCATTTCAGCATGAGCCAATTTAAAGTGAACGGATAAAAACGTTACGCGAATGGTGATCATTCATTATTGATAAGAACAGGATAGAAGGTCAGATAGTAGATAGTCTTATCATGCAGGATAGAAAGGGGTGTATAGATGTGACTGCACGAACAAGGCCTGTCTCTTATACACATCTCGATGTGTATAAGAGACAGCAATNACGACCAAACCGCCTTACGAACGTCCTCCCTTACGACCAAACCGCCTTACGAACGTCCTCCCTTACGACCAAACCGCCTTACGAACGTCCTCCCTTACGACCAAACCGCCTTACGAACGTCCTCCCTTACGACCAAACCGCCTTACGAACGTCCTCCCTTACGACCAAACCGCCTTACGAACGTCCTCCCTTACGACCAAACCGCCTTACGAACGTCCTCCCTTACGACCAAACCGCCTTACGAACGTCCTCCCTTACGACCAAACCGCCTTACGAACGTCCTCCCTTACGACCAAACCGCCTTACGAACGTCCTCCCTTACGACCAAACCGCCTTACGAACGTCCTCCCTTAGGGCCAAACCGCCTTACGAACGCCCTCCCTTACGACCCAACCACCTCACGAATGTCCTCCCTTACGACCAAACTGCCTTACGAACATCCTCCCTTACGATCAAACCACCTCACGAATGTCCTCTCTTACGGCCAACCGCCTACGAACGTCCTCCCTTAGGGCCATACCACCTTACGGACGTCCTCCCTTACGACCAAACCACCTTACGGACGTCCTCCCTTACGATCAAGTGACTTACGAATGTCCTCCCTTGCGACCAAACCACCTCACGAATGTCCTCTCTTACGGCCAACCGCCTTACCGAAATCATCAACCGCCCTTGATGATTTTCTAAACATGATATTCTCCGTTCCTGGATACCATCATGGTGTTTCATCAGCTCTCATGAAAGAAAGCGGACGTTGCGGATGAACGTTATTCATGCATTCTTCGGGCACTATAATATGCAAATTTTCCAACTCATATCCTCATCACTAAAATGCTCCATGTTTTTAATTGCCAGGTATGGCGCGCTACTTCAAACAATCTTCCGAGCATCACTTGTTAAGCTGCTACGTACTGTCTTATGACATTAAAATGTGGAATGAATTTCGTTGAGCGGAGTGACGTATAAACTCTGAATTGCAGGAGAAGCTCCGAGTTGGACGCCAAGATAGTGCATGCAATTAATATTAGTTCAAGGGGAAATAGAAAGTAATTTTAATCAATGAATAATAAGGGTTGCTAAACAATTCCAACATTTCACCCTACGAGTAAAATTAAATTTCCCCGAAGATGTGGATTGTGGGTCTTCTTCGGTATCCCCTAAAAAAGTTGCATGTCTTCAGCAATCTCGCATGAAGAGCGTCGCTTTGTTTGAACGAGAAAATCACTGTAACGCATTAAAAAAATAATTAAATTTAAACAGGTTGATTAATGTTGATATCTACGAGAATGTTTTGAATATGAGCGGGTGTTGTTAAGGTGCTTCTTATGGTAGCAGTAAGATAAATAACACACCATGCACGGATGGACCTTCACTGGCAATGTTAAATAATCTGTAATCTCATTTTCGTAAAGAAGATTCACGTAGCATTTTTGTGTGACCTTCAGGCACCAGTTTTCCTTAATTGTACCGTAGCTTACCTGACAAAAGACTCTGCAACAACATGGATCTGCCTCGATCAGTACCATGTACCATGCAGTACCAAACCTTTACAGTACCATGATCAGTACCAACCCTGCAGCATGCAGGGTTTCCAGATTTCCTAAAAACGGCTAAATCCAACAACAAAAAAAGGCCTTTAACTAAATATAAACTAGTATATTTGTTGGTTCCGGCGTGAAAATTCCATCTCTTTTTCTCAGTTTTTAAATTTCAATTAGGAAGTACCCCTATCATAAATTTTAGCCGGCCAACGCAAATGAAAAAAAATTAACCACGGTATGTATTTGTCTGGAAAAAACCTTCTGGCAACCCTGTCCCCTGCCGGTGCTGTTGCACCATCATCACCATGCCGGTGCTGTTGCACCATCATGCATTAGTCCGGTGCTGTTGCACCATCATGAATAAAGTCCATAAATTGCAAAGTTACCATTTGTAGAGGCTCCAGAAATTCTAGCATGCAGGATTTCCAGATTGCCTAAAAACGGCCAAATCCGAGAACAAAAAAAAAAAGGCCTTTAACTAAATGTAAACTACTATATTTCTAGTGTCCGGCGTGAAAATTCCATTTCTTTTTCTCAGTTTTTTTATTTCAATTAGGAAATACCCCTATCATAAATTTTAGCCGGACAACGCAAATGAAAAAAAATTAACCCCGGTATTTGTCTGGAAAAAAACTTCTGGCAACCCTGTCCCCTGCCGGTGCTGCACATTATATCAGTAATCGTGAACTAATGTTGCACCATAACTGGTGCCGGTGCTGTTGCACCATCATGAATAAAGTCCATAAATTGCAAAGTTACCATTTGTAGAGGCTCCAGAAATTCCTAATTTGTGGGTATGGTAATGACTGCATAAATGAGTTGTCCTGACTCATCATATATACGAATACACTCGCGGAACTCCGCCATACAATTACGTACGTCGGACGGCTTCTCAAGCTAAATCTTGCCTATCATAGACGATAAATTAGCCGCTGCGTGCATTTATAACAAATATTCGTATTTATACGTACGTAGAAGCACAAATACGTATAAATACACGTATTGTAATGGTAGAGCCCTGATATCAGATTGCAAGTGCGCTAGTATATACATAGACTATAAATGCACTCTTTGCTACATTGTGTCGTTACATATTGGTACAATCTATGGCAACTTATCTACTCTACTTGAAAATGTGAAGGAATCTTTTGTACTTTTTTACAAGTAATAGCTACATGTTTTGGACGAACAAAATATATATATGATTGGACTGATGACTTAAAAGATACCCGTTGCTGCATCAGAGACTGAAGTATTTTTAAGACAAATATACATAGTTGTACGTATTTACTAGGGCAGTCGTTGTTGAATTGAGGGTAAACGAATGATCCATCAATTTTCCGAGAGATATAACGGTGTGAAAGAACTAATAAACTTAATCGAAATCATATTAAATGAATCACTTAGAATAATGAACAAGTTATATTATCCGAATAATGGCACAGTTTCTTCGTGTAGCACTGATACGTCCTTTTCCGGGCCAACTTGGTCAAAAGGACCCATGCTATAGGGGTGAAAAGTTCATCACCGTCTGGACAAAGTTACACCCAATTTCTCGAGTGTATTTGTGATCTATGTGCGGGAGAATGTAAATCAACTGCACAATTATGATATTAACTTATTGAAAAAAGAATTTAACACAAATCATCGATTATAAATAAATTTCTTCATCATTTAACAAAATCATAGTTACCAGAGTCCCGATATATGTGTACAGAGACTATATAGACAAATTGTGTCTTACTTATCCCAGCACGCACTTAGTCAACGAATCCCTATCCTAAAGTTCAGGTATAGAACCAATACTAATAATATTATTAGTCAGGTGGCGCTTAATATCGCCACCTGACGAAATTGAACTTGTGCATCAACAACTTCATCAAAGTCTTCGTCCAAGTGAAATCGAGCAGTTGTGAAATCGCCCAGCTGTCTGAATCAATTGCAAAGGCGAGAGTGAATGAATCGGCCAGCTGTATGAATCAATTGCTGAAATCTGCAGCAGAGGGCAACAATCCTGACATCAGCAAATTTCCAATAAAGACTTTACGATCCTTTTTATGATGGTCTGTGAGCGTATACAGTTCATTCAGTGCAATTTTCATTTCTGGTCAGAAATTGCAAAAGTGAGAGATCTGTCGAGCTTGTGTCAGCAGAATTAACTTTCTGTAGTTGCAGCTACATGACAAACGAGTTTGTGCATGTGAAGGTTCGGACAGAGGATCATAATGGTCACCGGAAGAGATCTTTTAACCTCGCCCTCTTCTAAACCTCTAGTTTCAATTTTATACTCACTCGTTTGCGTCTCCATGAATAGTGATAATTTATCAATAGTAAATTCTCCTCAATACTTCCTGCAGTCCTATGTTTTACAATTGCTACATCTTTTTCATATTTGACGTGTACTTATGTGTCGCTCCCTTAATTTTGGTTATGGTTGAACTTGATTTGATAAAATATAGCAAAGTATGTCCTCAATATGGCGAAGTTTATAGGAAAAACAAAGTCGCAGTTGAGATCTAGAGCTCATTTATTCATGTCATTCGATGAGCAATGAATCTATATTGCGTTGCAACAAGTGAATCTTGACTACAAATTGGCGGCTCAACAAATACAAAATGTTTACTCAACGTATTCAAAATGGCGAAGAGGCATTCGACAAATACTTCATAGAAGCTCTATAGGTACACTAGTAATACTAATATTTAATTGCATTTACACTTCACACAGAAGAGCTAGAAAAAATTTCACCCAGCCATCTAGAAAGGAATTAAAACTCCAAGTGAGCATTGTAATCTTCCTTTTTCCAGATGGTGGACAACCCACACACGGTACAACTGACGGACACGTTTTGATAGGCAACATCCAATTTAAGACGACTGAATATTAATCCAAGAAATTTGAAAATGGGAGACTGGCAATCTTGTTGATAAATTTGGCTTTGACTTTATAGTAGCCGGCAACCACTTAGAGTGGTGGCTGAAATTCAATATGTATGGCGTCAAACAACTTTAGGAAAGCGACAAATGCATTCAAGATAGCGGCAAATGCATTCAAGATGGCGGCAAATGCATTCAAGATGGCGTCAAACGCCTGCAAGATGGCGGAAGTGCCCGTACAAAGAAAACACATTTGGCACTTATATCGTTATTCCTACATAAAACTTAGTACTACGGACGCACACTTATTGCCACAAATTTATGGTCGCTGGGTAACTCTGGCACATCTGGAACTAATTGTACACTTAAAACTATAATCAGACGGTCGTCGTGTAGCACTACGTCTCGGGGTAAATATTATATTCTTAAATCTATAATTAGACGGTCGTTTGGCACTAAATCTTTAGTTAATCATTGTATAGTATACTTAAGACTGTTATCAGAGGGTCAGGGTACAATCAATATCGACGCGATAATTGGACACTTAAGACTGTTATCAGGAGGTTGCACTCAGAAAAATTAAGGGGAAAAAGGGGCAATTTGAACAAGTCTCACTGATGAGGCGCTGACATGGCACTGGGAGAATTTAATAACTGAAATAAAAACGCAATTGGAAGAATGACTGCGCGGCGTTCCGGTAAATCACTGCTAGAGTCTGCCCTTAATATAACGTTACAAGTTGGTCCTTGAAGTGGAGACGTGAACCATGCTTGCGAAAGTTTTGACGCAGTCATGGCTAGTGCTCAGATGGCTAGTTCCTAAAGCAGGTGGTGTGCAGATAGCTGGTTTCAATTGCAGGTTCACAGATGGTTGGTTCTCCCGCAGGTAGTGCTCAGATGGCTGGTTCCTATTGCGAGTGGTGCTCAGATGGTTGGTTCCTAAAGCAGGTGGTGTACAGATCGCTGGTTCCTACCATAGGTGGTGACCAGATGGTTAGTTCTCCCGCAGGTGGTGCACAGATGGCTAGTTCTTACCGCATGTGGTCACCAGATCGCTGGTTTCCCGTGAAATCCACAAAGCTGGTTCTATGCACAGGTGGCATTCAGATAGTTTGTTCGACGCTACCATTAAAGGTAAATGTTAATAGCATGCAGGTAGATGTTTATTGTCACATGTATAGGGTAACTGCAGAGTCGCTATCTACAATGTCGATGGAAGGTAGGCAACGGCAACGGTATAAATAACAAAATAAAATAACAGAATGATAACTTAATATAAATTCACAATAAATAGACATCGAAAATAACGAACAAACTCAAAAAAGTGTTTAAAACACTCTGAGAAACACAAGGGAGTCACTGCAACACATATCTACTATGATTATATACATTATACATAATAAACACTCACTCAAACGCGCACACATTAGCATAAACACGCTCATGTGCATACAGGCCCATAATAAACAGCCGTACATGCGATATACGCGATAAATTATTCTATATAGATACGCAAAAAAATACACATGGCAATTATCCATTTCATTACTGAACACATTCAGCAAGCATTCTCTCATATGCCAACTTATTGTGGATAACTCAAGTAAATTTGTCAATATCGGTTAGAATGTTAATACGTAAATAAATAGTTTAGTTATGGACCTATGACCTCAACGATGATGGTGACGCTGCATGGGATGCCGGTCCAGTCACTTCCATTACTACCAGCCACTTTTTCCTCACGCACATTCAAGTAAAATATTATGCATATTGTAATTGATTATCTTCGGGGAACAGAATATCCCATATATCCCGTTGAAAATCAAACATTATTGACCTGTTCAGTGGTTAGTAATTATATTTAAGGTTCTATTACTGCTTATTGCACACCTCTGGTGCTCTAGTCACCTAATCCTCTCTAGTTGCTATTAACGCTAGTTCTAGTTAGATATTTACAGGCATGGTTTAAACATATAGGCGCCTTGAATAAGCGATCACCTAAATAATATTAGTCCTAGATAGCTATGTGTAGCTGTCTCTAGAAGTGTAGGTTTTCAAAATTTTACAGATGTTGTTCAACAACTTACTATTTTAATCTCCCGTGACATTGCCCAATTTACTTGCTCAGTTCAATCATCCGTGACATTGCTCGCTTTAAGTTCCCATTTCAACCATACCGTGACATCGGCCAATTTACTTGCCCGGTTCAACCATCCCGTGGCATTTCCCAATTAATTTACTAATTTAACGATTTCGTATAATTCCTGAGGCTAAATGCCAGATCAACGATACGGAAGAGATGAAATGAACCGCTCTGAAAAGCTTCACCTTCGTTAACTAATAACGTAATTCTAACGACTTATTCTTGCTTCTGCCACAATATAGTTATGAAACTAAAAACCAATCAGCACACGCAAAATTATTATAAAAAACATGAACATTAACATTATTGCGTATTGTCGCATAATTAATTGTTGTCGTCTGTCAATAACAATGTAGTCGGAATTTTTTTTATCCATTGTGCGTCTATATTTAAGTAATAATTGCATTAGGAGATAAAGGGTTATTGTCTTCGTTATCGATATTATTGCACGGATATCAACGAACAAACATGAATTTCTTGCATATCAACATTAACGGTGATTCAACATTAACAAATTCCTTGTGTTTCACAGTTTAATACGAACACTCATCCGCAGGAAATTTACCAAGCAATTAAGTAGTCTCCCCTGGAAAGACGCAGAAAACGATGCCATAAAAAACGATTGAAATTTGCTTAAACTATTTTAAACCAGCGTTAAACATGCAATATTTCGTCTCAACCTGAGAAAACCGAGAATAAGGAATTAACAACCATATATGCATGGGCATAAAATTGCATGAAGAGCCTGTAGTAACAATAATGTATGCAACATGAACAGCTTGGATAACAGGAATTTCTTCGTATTGACGTCCAAGGAAACTTCGTGAGCAGAAGAAAATAGTTGACGAGTTTGTAGAAAACGGACGAGCGAGCAGTAACTGATATATACATCGGCAACCAGTGCTAGAACAAGAACAAGTGTTATTAATTCCTAGAAGCCACATTAACAACTTGCCTAACAATCTAAATATAAATAATGCATAGATTACATCACTTTTTGTTCGACATCGCGTTAAAAAGCGCGATCTAAAGCGTGAAGTTTATCGTCGGAGTTCTGTGTGGCTTCGACAAGTCCTTTACAGGATCATCAATGCTTTACATTTCATCAATGCTAATCTTTTTTATCCTTTCGGTGCATGCTAATGATGCATTCTGACTTTAATTCACTTTAATTTTAATTGTTAGTGCATTATAGGATATTCGGACGCAATCAAAGTTATATGAGGAACTTGTTCCTATGGGAAATAATCCCGATTCGATGCCTGACTCCGGATCACGATCCGAAAACACTTGATATCCTCTAGGGGACACTTTACACCCACAAGCTCCCCCAGAGTGCACTTTACACCCATGAGCTCCAACAGTAGACACATTACACCCCTAAATTCACCCAGGGGACTCTTTACACCCATGAGCTTTAATAGTACACACATTACACCCCTAAATTCACCCATGGGACTCTTTACACCCATGAGGCCTCCTAGGTGACGTGCCGTAGGGAGTGGGTTGAGGTGACCACGGTCTGGTGGTGGTGATGGTTGTGTGGTTCGTTGCTTGGGTTGAGGGGGTCGCGCCCCGACACGGATGTGGGGGTCATGTGGGGGTCGTGGTGCTGGGGGGTCTGCTGCACGATGAGGGTCTGGGGGAGGGAGTGGGGGGACTGTTGGGGGCCGGCATCTGAGGTGCTCACCACCGTGAAGTAGCAGCGCTCTGGGGGAGGAGGATATTTTAGGCATCATTTTTAGCGCATTTTCTCATTTATGGAAGAAAATATAATCAGTATTCACTGCAGTGAGTGACAGAGAGCGCATTCTATCGTCGACGAAAACGTGAAGTCACGGACAGACGGACGGACAGACAGACGGACGGATGGACCAACGGACAGACAGACAGACGGACGGACAGACAAACAGACATGACGAGCACAATAGCGCATTTTTTCCATAAATGAGAAAATGCGTTAAAAAGGCGCTATTGTGCTCGACATGTCCGTCCGTCCATCTGTCCGTTTGTCTGTCCGTCCGTGACTTCACGTTTTCGTCGACGATAGAATGCGCTCTCTGTCACTCACTGCAGTGAGTACTGAGTTATATTTCTTCAGTAAAGTCGCTGAAATTAAACATTTCTGAATATAAATTCCCATAACCCCTTTAACCCCAAGATCAGCCAGCCCAATTAATTTTCACTGGGAACCTTATTTTTAACAGTTATTTCCAGGGGAACCTATTTTATTGAACGTATTTATACTGGGAGACTTTTTTCTAGCAACAAATTTTCAATAAAATAGGTTCCCCTAGGTTTCCCTGGACATAATTGTTAGAACACTAGAATATTTTCACTGGTAAACTTATTTCTAACAGTTATTTCCAGGGCAACCTAGGGGAACCTATTTTATTGAGAATTAGTTGCTAGAAAAAAGGATCCCAGTAGAAATACGTTCAATAAAATAGGTTCCCCTGGAAATAACAGTTAGAAATAAGGTTCCCACTAGAATATTTTCACTGGGAACCAATCTATCCCCCCGTGAACATAGGAACAACTCAATCTCAATCAATTCTTTTGAACATAAAACTCAGGAACAATTAAGTCTTTTTTATTTTAAATAAATTTTTAAATTTTAACAGAAAAACCATTACCCTTTAACCCCAAGATCCCCAGCCCAATAACCCCCGCCCCACCTGGCATGTCGTCGAGGTGGTGGTTGAGGTAGCTCAGCTCCTCCTGGTCCTCCCGGTCCCCCTCCACCCGCCGCACCAAACCCCCTCCTCCCCCACGCAGTCCTGGGGGAAATAAATTGTCAGTTATCGTTATATCGTCCCCCCGCGTCCCCCACTCACCGTCCCCCGCCATGATGGCGTCGTCCATGAGGTGAACCCCCCCGTCCCCGCCCAGGGACGGCATGAGGGTGGCGTAGTCCATATTTTCGTCCAGGCTGATGAGGGCGCCACCCCCCGGGGGCTGGGGGGTCCAGCGATGGGGGGATCTGCTCCCCCCTTTGGGGGAATTGGAGTTCAGCAGCCCCAGCGAGGTGGGGGACATAACCCCCGAGGTCGTGGGGCTCAGGGAGGAGTAGGTGAACAACTGGCGGGGGTGAGATAGAAGGGGTTATTGGGGGAAACCCCCTGTTTTGAAACACTTGGGTGTTTCAAATCCTCCCCGAGCGATCATGCCCGAGACAACCAAGTGTTTCAAAAACGTTCAGGTTTTTCACATAAATTATTCAATTTAATTGTATACAATAAGTTTTATTTGTGTTCAAATGAACGATAAATTCATTAATTGGATTTAATGGCCAATTTGAGCCTACAATTGATAAATTATTTAATTTAATTGTTTACAATAAATTATTTAATTAGATTTGATGGTAAATTTGTACCGACAATTGATCAAGAAATGTTATTCTTAAATTGACCGAGTGTTTACGGTCAACAATTTGGCTGCAATGAGTTGCGGGTTCGAGGCTCAGTGAAAATAATATATGTCTAGATTCGGTGACATGTCAAACATGGTCTAATCTTCAGCGCTGGCTTTAAATAGTATATTATGCATAATATATTATTATAATAAATAGTAAAATAATATTATGTATGATACAAGCAAAAAATAGGCTTCTGACAGCGCGTGTTGGATTTGATTTTATTTTTTTGAAGGTACATCTCTTTCCCCATGATACAGCATTGGTCCCCTGAGGTATGGGTAGAGAAAATAGAGGGCTACAACAAGTTGGGGATAACAAGTAGGGGGTAGCAAGTAGGGAGCTACTCAGGGATACACATGGTAAAGATTAGAGAGAACATGTTAAATTTACACATGGAAGATAGGGTTACCGAATTAGATTGGTGGGGAAGGGGGTTAACGGGTACGGTCAAGGGCTAGGGTTAACAAATAAATGCAGGATTAAATGACCGGATTACTCCTAATCACCTCGGGTTGGAAAAAAATAACCCACGCAATATTCTTAATCATATCTGCTGAATAAAAGTGTTGATTAATATATGTAGATTGTTAGCTTGTAGTGTAAAGTATGGCACCGAACTTCGGTCATGTCAGGCATGCATATGATGTCAGGGCTCGCTGCTTCCGAGGAATAGTATAGTATATGATCTATAATTATTATATTATTTGGGACATGTTTTACTCAACGGTGTAACTTTTAATTAACTATTTGGCCAAAAATATAACCCATATTAAGGCTTTTTAATTTTTTGCGGCACAATTTACGTGACAAACATCTTGAATCTACTTTACAGAATAAGAATTTTGCCTGCCCGAGGCTGAGTCGTATTTCTCACAAGACAGTTAGAGTTAGAAGGTACTATATTAGAAGGTATGATCAGGGGAAATAATTATGGGGTACGATTAGGGTATAATTAGACGGTAATATGAGAGGGTGTGTATAATAAAGAGCGGTGGGTATAATTAAAGAGCGGGCGGAAAAATGCCGTCTGGTGCAGGTTAAGAAGCACGGCTAAGGGCACGGTTAAAAGGGTTAAGGGCACATTAAAGTACTCGATTAAAGGGCATAATTAATACACATAATTAAGTAATACAGATAAATAATTTTTCAGTTAAAGAATGAGGAATTCAGGTTAGTGATTTCTGTTATAATTACAGACAAAGGGTACAGATAAGTAACACATCGAACACCCATGTACACTTATATTCCAACCCATAAACCGTACAAAAACAAACCACGACCGTAAACGCACACCGATCAACACGAACCATGAACTGAGAGTGAATGTGGTTGGATGATTGTTTGCGAGTGTGTGTGAAAAGAAATTCGTTCCACCCCTTAAACCAGTTCGAGAACTAGGAGTATTGATGAGTACTGAGCTGATCACATATTGACAGTAGTTGCGAAATGCAGACATAAGATGGGGTGGATCTGGCGAACATTTCGAATAAGAGAAGCTGCGCCAACAATTACTCTTCAGAGCGCTCGTGTTCCCCATTCTGAAGTACTGCTGCCAGCTTTGGGCACCGCTTACGGTGGGACAGTTCAGCAAATGTAGGTAGTTCAACGGACTTTCACGTCCAGGATCAGCGGGATGAGGAAGCTGAAATGCTTTGAACGCACCTGAGTCAGTTCTGATTGGTTAAACGGAGAAAAGGAAAGAGTGGTATGTCACCCAGTGGATTTTATTCCGTGGCGGGACCGAGGGGGTTTAACGTCTTGCCGCTGGAACCGAGAAGGAAGAGTAAATCCACCAAAGAGGACGGTGGGTAGTTCACCCTTGAAACCTTCAAGAGAAGACGACTGGATGTGTTCTTGGGCACAATCTCAGATCGTTCGCCTCTATTCCGCTACTATCAGCAAGGAACGGAGAAGAATGCAACATCTTGCATCAAATCGTCTAAATGCAGGCAGGTGCATGGTAGTTTGAGGCTACTGTCCCCAAAGCCTCAATGGCAGAGGCGACCTTCTTGCCGATGGTTGGGAAGCGACGGACTACAAAAGCGGTGCATCAGCGTGGCCGTGGACGAAGGCATCCAAAACTTAACTCGCGACAGAAGGAATTTGTTAATGCGAGTGTTAAGTGTATCTGAATGAGGAATGTTCATCTGAGTGAACCCGCAACAGCGAATGTGCGAACACAAGCGATAACGACATCGATATCGACAGCCATAACGTTCGTCATCCATGACGACAGCAACGACAGCAATGACGACATCGATAACGACAGCCGTACGATATAGCAGGGAAGACAGCGATAACAGCAGTTTTACCTAACAGGAATATAACAGCATGCACAAATAATTCAGTAAGCATTGCATGCGACCATTGCTCATGCTTTTCGTAACCCTGATCGTCTCGGGTGGAGCGAAAACGTCTAGCCACTGCCGGGTAGAGGAGAATTGCTCAATAATTTCCGAGGAGTGTCAAATTAATACATTTAAATTATTTTCTTAATTTGGTCATCCCTCATTTTTAACAACATATATATTGTTGTACAATATAGTTGTATTGTTGAGATTGCGTATAATTGAGGTGATATAGTCTCAATAATCCTGCGTGGAGTGAACATGTCGACACCCGAGATGACTGAGGTTATATGGTTAAATTTTGTATATTCATGCACTACCATTAGCAATTGTTAGAGTTAGCCTTACAAGCACGAACCAAAGTCAATTTCCCGTTTAAGAGCCATTATTTGTCATTTAAATAAATAATTGCCAATTGTTCAATAAGCATCATAATTAAGTGTGATGCATGACAAGGAAGGTGGCAGAAGGCCACAGGGTCCTTCTAAAAATGATTGAGCTAGTATACGGGGACAATAGTGGCGGCCACTAATTTGCTACTAGCCTCGTGTGAAGGATGGTTTGGTCTTTCCGTAACTACATATATACACGAGGCCAATAACAAGGGTAAATCGTTGCGATTAGTATTTAAAAGTTGCAGTGGCCGCGAGAGTTGCCAGAGAGTCTTTTTTTCCGGACAAATTCCGCGATTTAGTTTTTTCAATTGCGTTGCCCGGCTAAAATTTATGATAGCGGTACTTCCTTCATAAATTTCAAAAAGCGTGAGAAAAGTAAAAGTAGTTAAGAAAAATGAATTTTTTCCGGAATCTATACACATACTGGTATATATTGAGTTAAAGGCCTCTTTTAGCCTTTTTTGTGCGCGGACAAAAGGCCATCTGGCAACCCTAGTGGCCGCCACTATAGTGTCCCCGTGTACAAGCTCCTTTAAGCTAGCAAGATTATTGAAGATGCTGACTTAAGCCATGCATAAATACAAGTAAACCTTACCTGAATGGTTGTACGATCTGCTGCAGTGTTGTGGTTTTTGGGTGTTATGTCTACGTTACTTTTGTTGTTGTTGTTGTCGTTTGTTTTGTTATTTGTGGTGTTATCTGATTGTTGTTGCGAGGCGGGAGTGTCAGTTTCGTTGTTTATATTTTTCTTGTTAATTAATTGAGTGATGTTGTTGTTCTTGTTGTTTTTGTCCTTGTCGGTTGTGTTGTTGTTGTCGGCAGGCTCTCGCTTGTGATGGAATTTCTCATTAAAAACAACGAAATTATTCCTTCACGCAAACCACAAAAAATCGTCAGAGAAACTGCAATAACCAACAGCCAAACTATTAATAAAAATTAATTAACTATTAATTTTTATTAATATTAATAACAAATTAAAACCGAAATAAGCACAAAAAATACCGATCAACTCATAGTCTTATGCATTCTATAATTGATAGCGCTAATAAATGTCGAAAATCAATGCAAACTAAAATCATTTTAAATATATTTAACAAAGAATTTGCATGAAACTTTCATTACGAGGAAAAAGAGAAAAAAATGAACGGAAAATATAAAAATAATAATTTCCTTGCATGAAAAAGGCATGGCATCTCTTATCTAATTCGAATTGAAAAAATAATAACAAATTAAGCTTGCAATCAAATCCTGAGCTCAAAATAAATCAGCGTCCAAATCAGCGACCTCGTGCGTGAAAAAATCAACCCACGTTTGGGTGAAACAATCGGCAACCGCATTTATTTAATACTTGGCAACCGCACTTAATTTGATACTTGGCAACAGTTTTTAATTTAATACTTGGCAACCGCACGTTATTCAACGCTTGGCAACCGCACTGTATTGAATGCTTGGCAACCGCACTGTATTGAATGCTTGGCCACCGCACTTTATTGAACGCTTGGCAACCGCGCGTTATTTAACGCTTGGCAGCCGCATTTATTGAATACTTGGCAACCACATTTTATTTAATACTTGGCAACCGCATTTATTGAATAACTGGCAACCGCACTTTATTTAATAAAATAGCAACCAAATTTTATTTAATACTTGGCAACCGACGTTTTTTTACCGCTTTGCAACCGAACGTTATTTAGTTCCTAAAATCCAACCGTTATTTAACGCTTGGCAACCGCACATTATTTAATGCTTGGCAACCGCACGTTCTTGAACACCTGACGTCTCATCAATCAATATACAGGGTCATCAATATTTAGCGTTACATTTTTTTCAAAATCAATTGTTGATAATTGTCCTCGATATTTGTCATTTGTTTGCACCTTCTCATTAATCTTTATCATTATTTCTCATTTATCATCTTTATGGTGTCAAAAAACACCAACTGTCTGCTCAAGTTGTTGACAAACGCCTCCAAAGATCCAAGATTCTTCTTTCCCGCATTCATGATGGCACGCTGCCAAACCTCGTTTTCAGTGATGAGAAGATATTCAATGTTGAACACCACTTCAACTCCCAAAATGATCGAATTTTGTCAAAGAATGGGACGAAGGATCCCGTGTGGTGACTAGGAAGCAATGCCCGACCTCAGTGATGGTCTGGGCAGCCGTAACAGAGTCCTCATCACCGAAAATCGAGCATTTGGCGACATGCGGCCTAACTATTGGCACGGTCGTTACAATATTCTGTAGAACTTCTATTGCTAACCATGCACAGTTCACGTTCTCTAACTAGAGCATTTCATGAAATAAAAGCTTTCCAAACTCAAGACAAATTACAAGAAGCCACTCGTCAATCCAAAGAAAATTTTGCAACTAACCTGTTAAGCCATGATTCAGTACGAAATCTAACATCTTAGTACAAAACGCACACAACACTAGTGTAACAAAGGCCTATAAGAACAAACCACCCTATACAACTCGCTAGTACAACTCACTCAAAACTCGTTAAAGGAAAACTTAATTCGAAAATTTTCTTCTGGCACTTTGGATGTACCGGCATGAGAGGCACACAATCTCACTCAAAGGTTCATGTGGGACGAAACATTACCACAACTTTAGTAAAACGTGGGAAAAAAACACACGAGGGTGACAGGACGCACTTATGTCTGGTAAGTCAATAGCAATAACGGCCTCAACCACCAACAAAACCACCTCAACCACCAATCGATCTAAGCTGGACCCCGCATGATGACCACGATGTTGAAAGTTGCCACCACATAGAATACAATTCAACTGATACCATCCACGGTCCTCAAAAACCTTCCTGATCCCTAAAAGCGATCCCATATCTCATCCAGAATCTTTGAAACCTAGTTCCTATCATCAGAGCCTCCATTATCACCTTATCACCTACGGCCTTCAGCACAGCAGCTTACATTTCCCATACGGACCTCAGTTCCCCCTACCACCGCAATCCCCAGACGTAATATTCACTAGACGTGATAGACACTGATGGAAAAGTACTATACCTTAGTCAGCGTCTGGAGACATCACATGAAAAATCACGCGATAGCCGTGACTCTAATTTATACAAGGGCTGGGAACCTTAGTAAGGCCCCCCACAGAAGCTAACGAACGCGGCGCGATGTAATTCGCGTTAGGGCTATTCCGACCTTACGGTGGACGCCGTAGCTTATACCTCTGTAATATTCCTCATGAATTACCACCCCGTATATCAAGATAAGTTCTCTAGACAGACGGTGTCTTACTTATCCCTCACGCCGTAGTCAACGAATCCTTCTCTACCCTGTGGGCGCATAAACATGCATCCGGGACCCCTACGTCGCCCTGTTCCCCCTATCACCTTCGGCGCCCGGTTCCCCCTATCACCTACGTCGCCCGGTTCCTCCTATCACCTACGGCACCCGGTTCCTCCTATCACCTACGGCACCCGGTTCCTCCTATCACCTACGTCGCCCGGTTCCTCCTATCACCTACAGTCCCCAGTTCCCCCTATCACCTACGGCGCCCGGTTCCTCCTATCACCTACAGCCCCAGTTCATTTCTTAGACTAGCAAATGTGAGTCACTCTGACCCACTCGATGTATGTATGTCGCCCACTCTATGGGCCTACACCTTAGACCGTCAAATCTACCCCCTTAGACCCTTTGCATGCCCCCTTATCAGACCATCATCCCCTCATAGGCCTACTTGTGTGGAGGCCGAGGAGGTCTGTGGGCTGAGACACAGCCTTCTATGTTGNGCATTGCGACTGGCAAGGAAATTCAGGTTAATAGTGGCGAAGGAGAAGTTTTTTTGTACTTTTTCAGTCTTAGGCCTATTAACTAATAACTATCAAGTACCTAGGTAGACTATCACTACCGTAGTTAGTATCTACTCACTATCTAGGACATTGGCATTATCATACATTATAAATTGATCAAGATATCGAGTACTAGGTAGATGAGAATAGCAAGTTGAAGAAATAGTTGAAGCTATTAGAAAAAAATATCTGGTTTGCCACTAGCTATGCGAGGATGGTTGTCGCAGATGCCGGTTCAGTATTCGCTTCAAAAACGTCATCACATTGTCACTCCTCGTACAATTCTTACCGCGTTCTCTTTTCTCCTCTTTTTCGTCCCCCATTACGATGTCACTGCTGATATTATTAGAAGACTAGAAGCTGAAATAACCGACGGCAAATAACGATTTTGGCAACAACAAGAACACAAGCGCGCCAACGAACACCGCCGCCATTAGGCTTTACGGCATTACACTGTTGCCAAAGGATAGATGTGTATAAGAGACAGAAAGGTGGGAGAGGCTAACCTTCCCTGTGCTGAGGAGGGCTGTCAGAAGAGGGAGTCCGGGTGAGGGGTGGCAGAATGCGTCCTCCTCCAACCACCACACTCCCACCTGCGGGAGTTTGAATCATTAGGTCAAGTAATTAACAACGGGGTTATTAGGACATACCTGCAACCCAATTCAACCCACAACCTCTTTCTCTTATAAAATTTATAGGTGGGCCCGACTCTGCGCAGGTGCCGCCTATGACTCGGGGAGCGCGTAAATCAGCCGCTCATGTCTGCTTCGGCTCAGGGTTCGATGGGCAGCCTCTGGGCAGCTTGCTAGCTCGGTATGGCTTGGCTAGGCCAACTCTTAATAACAACAACAACTCTTAACAATAACAACGGCCTAATAAACGCTGAAATTAGCGATTTCAGCGTTTATTAGGCCGTAGGCCTGTCGCCGATTCTCAACATAGTAGAACATTCACAGCTTGTTGCAGTCTCGAACTCGAAACTCACTGCTCCAAATCTGCTTATGCTTAACCGCCCGGCCTCCTCGCCGATTCTGACCAGAAACTGGCGCACAGAGCTGGGATCGAACCCGCGCCTCTGCGCCAATCTTGGTACTCTGAACTGTAACCACTGGACCACCCTGCCATACTCTCAGGCGACCATTAAGTCGGCAAGGAAATTCTGATCAGAAGCTGTTTTCTATCAGGTGGCCAAGCAGACCCAGAATAACTTTAGGCCGAGTGTATGACTATTCGGCTAAAGCCTAGGCAGTCCCTAATTTTTTAGTGTTTTTCATTCGTGCTTCTTCTGCTTAGCCTTCCCCCTCTCATTCAATAACCCCCAAATTTACCCCTACCTTACCCCCACTAACCAAAACCCTTACTCCCCCTAATAGGATCCAAACCCCTAACTCCCTAATATGCAGCTCGCTCCCACCTATTTCAATTCTCTCCTTTTGCCCCCCTCTTCCCGGCACTCCCCCCATTACCCCCATCCCCCCACCGTGCTCCAGCTCCGTGTGCCAGCTGGTGCCGGAGGTGGTGTAGTACGCCGCTGCTGCCGCCGCCGCCGCCGCCGTCAGCTCCGCCCGCTCAGCGTCAGCCTCCGCTTCCTCCCGCGTCAGCTCGTCGCCCCCCACCGACCCCCCTACACCCCCGCCGTCATCACCCCCACTCAGGCGCCGTAACCTCTTCAGTCGAGGCTCTAGTGGGGGTGCTGTGAAGAAGGGTAGATTATTAGTATTAATTTATTCGCTAGTGACATAAACATATATTTTCATGATAAGTACGATTATCGGACGAGAATGTTCACTTTACCGGATTATTCTTATTTTACCTGTTTAAAAATGTAAAAAAATTTAAAAAGAACTGCACCTCCCTAGACCAAACCTAAGTAGGATTATCACTGAAGTTGTAAAATTAAAATTTTACATCCCTAACCTTATCAGACGCGATTGGCATGAAAAGCGTGTTGGGAATTCGTTCATCGGCTTTCCTGTCGCACAACTGTATAGCTATAATTTAAATATATAACTGTATATATAAACTAAACATATAACTGTATGTATATAAACTAAATATGTAACTGTATATATAAACTAAATAAAAACGACTGTATTCATAAACTAATCAAATGAGATATTGCGCGACGCGATTTTCGTCGCACAATTGATCTTCCAAAGCGGTATTACACCAAAATTGTCGTGCGAAATTAAAGTTAAAAATTTATTAGGGAGAAAATTAATTAGAAATTGGTGAGTTATATTTTTAGGGTTAGTGAGCCTTCATTATAATGCCCAAGTAGCATTATTTAACTTGCCTCATAAACCAGTTTCATTACTACACATTACCACTAGTTAGGACACTGGTTAGGACACTAGTTAGGACACTAGTTAGGACGCTAATTAGGAGACTAGTTAAGACACTAGTTAAAACACTAGTTAAAATACTATTTAGAACACTAGTTAAGACACTAGTTAAAACACTAGTTAGACCTCTAGTTAGAACACTAGTTAGAGCACTAGTTAGGGCACTAGTTAGGACACTAGTTAGGACGCTAGTCAGGACACTCACGCTTGCTGAGGCGCCACAGCTCCCTCGCCGTGAAGCAGCCTGTGGCCAGGATTGTGTTGTTGTAAATTACGCCGTTAATGCCGTTGTACGCCACGCTGTGCACCGGCTGACCTGTAACGGGTTACTTTTATGTCACTATAGTGGTAACGGTCTGTTACTGTACTACTAGTTACGGCAGGGGTCCGTTACTAGGTTCAGCCTTACTATAGTAACGACGGGAGCGCTGCCATGCACCACCAATTTTTTGCACCTTTAAGCCCTGAATCGAACGCCTTGGATCTCTCCGGACATCCACCAATCAGCCGTGAACCACTCGGCTTTGTCCTCCTCCGGCCTTGCATAAAACCTGCCATGCACCACCAGGCCGCGGATCGAATTTGACTTCGGGCATCGTTAAATTACGTAATTTTACGTTCATCGCATCTGCGGTTAGGTTTCAGATAGCATAGTTCTGTTCCAAAATTTATCGTCCTTCGACAAGTGGCCATTCAACCGAGGGCTGGTTCGACGCACGGCCTAGATACGGACGGCTTGAAGTGTTGAAGGCTACGTTCCGGAAGGCAGGAATCATGATGGTCCATTACATCCAGGGCAGTGGTGGTCTTCGGCAGGCGACCTCGTAACGACGAGCCGGTAATTTAGGCTATACTGGGAATGAGTTAAAATGAAGTCACCCCAATACTAGCACCGGGGGGACTTCACTATAGAAATAGTCGAGCCTTTATAGAAATATCTATCCGAGAAAGAAATATATCATCACTAAAGAAATAACCGAGCATCTTGCACAGACGGTGAAACAGAACTGTCAGAATCAACTAGGAACTAGCAGTAGCACCTGTACTAGCAGTGCCGCCTGTACACTAGGCCTCGTCTTATATATACTTTTTCAAAAACCCTACTTGGCAACTATATACTCTGCAGAATAGAAAATTTTGAATTTGAATAAATAAAGCGAACAAGAAACTTATTGTTTTCAACAAACATAACCGAAAATATCTCAGTCATAATCATTAACAGAGTGCAGTCAAGATTGTAGTCACATACTGTAGAGAGTGATTTGGAACTGAAAATTAAAACGAATATTGTAGCGGTGTCTGGCACTCACTGTTGATGCGGTCGTCGTCTCTGTCAGACTCCAGCATGAGACCTGCCAGACTGTCTGCAAGGATAACAATTACGTCAACACTAACAGGGATTAAGATACGAATAATTAATAAGAGTAATCATAGGAATAACTAATAAATATTGATTAATTAGTGATTCGTAATAGTCACAGTGATGACACCAGACCACGAAAAGACCTGTTATAAAATTATGCAAATTGGAATCACCTCCGCTAGCTACTACCACCACCACTCACTACCATCACCCACCACCACCACCACCACCACCACCACCACCTGGTNAACACCACGGCCATCCCAGTAACACCACGGCCATCCCAGTAACACCACGGCCATCCCAGTAACCTGTCTCTTATACACATCTAGATGTGTATAAGAGACAGGGGTTCACGCACAGGTTTGGCTGCTGACAGTCCGGGCTTTTCTCGAGCCTCTCACCATCAGTTGACTCCAGGGGGATCGCCTTGAACAATATCACCATCACCAGGTCCAGCCGCCACACCTGGGGGAGATGGGGACTTTTAGGGCCATGGGGATGTGGATTTTTAGGGTCATGGGGATGTGGACTTACGGATTTTTATAAAAAAAATCATTATTTTTATTATTTTAGCGGATTTTTATCCTAAAATTTTATTATTTTTATTATTTTATCGGATTTTTATTCGAAAAAGGGATTGGTCCATCACCAGGTCCAGCCGCCACACCTGGGGAGATGGGGATCAGCGCCATGGAGATTTGGACTTTTAACCTAAAATGATGTGGATTTTTATGGGAAAAAGGCATCAGTGAACGGATCAGGGACATGGGGATTCGTTCACATGATGTCTTTTTCATGTGAATCATAGGGATCCGTCCCCATGTCCCATGGGGAGGGATCAGGGACATGGGGATTTTGACTTACGGATTTTTATCCTTAAAATTTTATTATTTTTATTATTGTATCGGATTTTTATCCTAAAAAGAGATCGGTGATCGAACCCGAGTTCAAAAATGGGGTGAGGGAAGGGATTGCCAATAACTATCCAGGAGTAATAAGGATGTGGTTAATAACCCTGCTCATTAATAGGTAAGACACCCATTTAACCCTTTCATTTCCCTCTTCCTATACCCCTCTCCCGCCTCCCCATTCCCCTCAGGGGAGCTTCTCGAGACTCATAAAAGCGGTCGTAAAGCGCAAGCTTCTACACGAGGGGGATGATGGGGGACGGAGGGGGCGTCAAGAAGGGGGTTCAAGAACTGCAAGAGAGAAGGGGAATCCAAAAGAGGGAGCCGCTTGTCATCCAGCCCCATCGTTCNCCGTGTGAAAGGGGAGAGGACCGTGTGAAAGGGGAGAGGACCGTGTGAAAGGAGGGAGGACCATGTGAGAGGGGGGAGAGGACTGTGTGAAAGGGGTAGGACCGTGTGAAAGGGAAGAGGACCGTATGAAAGAGGAAGGAGCATGTGAGAGAGGGAAGAGGACTGTGTGAAAGGGGGGACGACCGTATGAAAGACATCAGAAAGACATCTGATTGGACGACCGTCCAATCCATATAACCTCATCCTAGGACCGTGTGAAAGGGGGGAGGACCGTGTGAAAGGGGGAGATACGAAAGAGGGGAGATGACTGAGAGGAGAGTGGTGACGAGGAAGGAAGATAGTGATATAAAAAAGGGGTGATCGTGTGAAAAAGGGAAGTGATGACGTGAATTGTAATAGTACTACTATTACAGTTCACATTAACACCCTTCCCCTTCGTTTGTGATACAGAGTTTCCAAATATTTCCCTTTTAACTATTGGAACATTCTGCTGTATTTTATTCGATTGTTTTCACGAGTGAAATAATTCGATTGTTTACATAATATAAAATCTGCAAGACTGAAAACGGCGTGACGTTGGATGTCACTGAATGCCAGCTGTAGCACTCCAGCTACTGGTGCCAGCTGGCTCTGGCAGCCGGTGCCAGCAGTTGCCAGCTGCGCTTGCCAGTAAACGTGCCAAAATTTCATCTGCCAAAACGCGCGTACGCTGGGAGTCCTGCCAGGACCATGGGTTCCTTATATATCTTTCTGGCCATACATCGACCTTCATTCACATCCCCAAGGGGGAGTGGTATTCCTCAGGTCGGGGGAGGAAAAGGGACAGGCGTCATGAGGGGGGAGGGCTCATGGATTTTCCTAATATACGCATTGTAGCTGTCATGACTTTACTAATAGCATACATCACAATACTTACATATATCGGTATGTAATAAATGTAAGTAACATTATTTATAAGGATCTAAAGGCCCATCACGTCGCACCCTTGTGAAAGGATGTGTACTGTATCCTGACCTACTTAGATTATCACATTTTCACACTGAATTTCCAGAAACCACAAGTTGGAAACATGCTATGGGAAAATTTTGCCGATGTTCCAGTCCGAAGTATACGAAGCTTTCGAAATAAAATATTGTGTGCCGCTCGTGAAAGTTTTCATAAAATTGCGCATCAATACATTACGCGTAACAGGCCTCACATCGGGAGGCCTTTATAAGCGGAGTCTTAATAATCGGAGTCCTAGTAAGCGGAGTCCTAGTAAGCGGAGTCCTAGTAAGCGGAGTCCTAGAAAGCGGAGTCCTAGTAAGCGGAGTCCTAGTAAGCGGAGTCCTATAGTAAGTGGAGTCCTAGTAAGCGGAGTCCTAGTATAATTAAGCGGAGTCCTAGTAAGCGGTGTCCTAATACACAGAGCTTTAATAAGCAGAGCCCTAAAAAACAGAGTCCTACTAAGCAGAACCCTAATAAGCGGAATCCGAATCAGAGGATGAGGATTCTGTATAAGAGGAGTTCTATCAAGAGAAGTCCTTATAACCGGATCATGGTAAGCTGAGTTCTAGTTTGCGGAGTCCGGCACCAAATATACGAATATACCTAAGGCACAGCTGACAATACGAGCCAGTCTCTTTGTTCATTTAATATAATATCCCAAATTTTTATCAGCAATAAGAAACAAAAAAATTCTTTCCATATCTTGTTTGATTATCGACTAAAACAAAGATAATTTGCCAATTATATCCAAAAGGCAAATTTATGACGTACCTGAAGCTCTTCCTTGCATCTGCGCTCCTCCTCCAAACTCATTCGCTTCTCGTGCTTCTTGAAGTATTTCCTCTTGGCGGCCTGTAGGTTAAACCACGTGTAGGCGAAGGCCCGCACGCAGGGCAGCAGCGCCTCGATGAACGGGTGGAACTCGTCCTGTATGTCACAAACGTACGTGGTTAACTAATTTCCATCACACGGGACAAGTAACACAGACGTACACTGTTAGAAAAATTACCGTTAAACGGTATTACCGGCGTTTCAGTGGCCGGTCGGCACGTGAAAAGGAACACCGTGTCACCGTTTTTACTCGATGAACGGGTGGAACTCGTCCTGTATGTCACAAACGTATACGTACGTGGTTAACGAAATGTCCATTTACACGTGACATGTAATCTGGCCAATATAACTTGCCAGGGCCTTTACTTTCAAAAAAAGGTTAAGAGATCGTAAGTTCATCGGCCAATCATTGACGGACACAGAAAAGAAAATAGAGCATAAGTACTTACGTTCACTTAGCGAATTTTGAAATTATGGCCTCCTCCTGTATGTCACAAACGTGCACTGCTAGAAATATTTCCGTTAGACGGTATTAC